CTTCCAGTTTAAAGCCATCACCCCTCATCCTCTCCCTACCTGCCCCTGTAAAAAGTCCCTCCCCAGGTTTCTTGTCCTGCAGCCGCGCTGCTGTCTGTGCCAAACTTCCTTTTGGCTCCCTGAGCAGAGCATCCAGGGGCTGTGCTCCAGGCAGGGTCAGGTAGAGTGGGTTGCCCAGATCTGCGTCCAGTCAGGCTTCAAATGTCTCTGAGGATGGAGATTTCACAACCTCTCTGAGCAACCTGTTCCCGTGTCCCACCACCCTCATGGTTTTGGTTTGCTTTTTCTTATATTCATGTGGAATTTCCTGTGTTTCAGTTTGTGCCCTTTGTCCTGGCACTGGGCACCACTGAGAAGAGAATCTGTGTCCTTCTTTTTTACATTCTCCACTCAGATCTTTATATGCATTGATAAGAACTGGCTCCTCTCCACGTGAAACAGGCCCCTCAGCGGGTGAGATGCTTCAGTACCTTCATCACCTTCCATCTCCTCTATGTATTTCTTGTCCTGGGGAGCCCCATACTGGACTTAGAACTCCAAACGTGGCATCACCAGTGTTGAGTAGAGGGGAGGGATCACCTCCCTGGCTGGCAGTGCTCTTCATAATGCTGTTTAGAAGATCATCTATGTTTTCTTTTTAATTCAGGAACAGAAGAGCGATGGCTTTGAGAATGGTTGATGTGCCTTGTCACTCTGAGGTGACCGGTTGATGTTTGAACACCAGCTGATCTTTCTCTCTGGTGACCATATCCCAAAATGGGGAGGTAAGAATCCCAAAGGAACCATCTAATTAAACTGTGATGTGTGTTGAGTGAAGGACAGGGAACACAGTAATGAATTAATGCTAATGGTGAGTTCAAAGGTGGGAATAATGTCTTCACTACACTTAAGGCAGAGCATGAGCAAAGCAGAGCTAGAGCAGAGTAAGAAGTTTTATGAAGAAGTTTCCGGGGAGATCTTATAGCAGCCTTCCAATACCTGAAGGGGCTACAAGAAAGCTGGGGAAGGACTTTTCATAAGGGCAGTTAATGACAAAACAAGGGGAAATGGGTTTAAGCTGAAAGAGGGGAGGTTTAGATGAGATATTAGGAAGAAGTTCTTCACTGTGAGGGTGGTGAGACAGTGTCCCAGGTTGGCCAGAGAAGCTGTGGCTGCTCCTCCCTGGAAGTGTTCTCGGCCAGGTTGGATGAGGCTTTGAGCAACCTGGTCTAGTGGAAGGTGTCCCTGCTGCTGGCAGGGGGGTTGGGACTGGATGAGCTTTAAGGTCCCTTCCAACCCAAACCATTCTATGAATATTAAGACTCTGTTTGCCCTTAGCTTGTTTCAGAATGCATTGTGGTGCTTTGGGGTTAAGAAATTCCATTTTGAAAGCAGATAATTCTCTTTGGGTTTTTAGGATCAGCATCTCATGTTTGCTTCCTGCTTCTTGGCACTTCAGCATCTCTCCGGTGGGATGCCCGCGGATTCTCAACACCACTTTGAGACAGATCGTGGTGATAGGAATACTTGCTGCTGCTGTCTCTTTGCTTTACTACTCTCTGGTAGTCATCCGCAATAAGTATGGACGTGCCTACAGGGACAAAAGATTCCACAGGTGAGAGTTGAAAAGACACTTGTGGAAAGGAATGAAATGAAATGTAGTTTTGGTGTGAAAGAGAAAACACTGACAGGTTGTGTCTGTAAAATACATGAATGGGGAGGAAGAAGTGTGAGTAAAACTTCCTGCTTTTTTTTTTTTTTGATGAAGCTTTCCTTATCTATGTTGATTTTAATTTAGCAGTAATTCAACTTTCTAGTATTTTATGTATCTGTAGCAGCTCTTAAGTGGAAAAAATATTGCATAATAAATTATTTGGAAATGACTTTTGGCCTTTTTTTTGGGAATTTGATTCTTATGGGTGGCACTTCACTTTTTTTTTCCTTCATCAACAGTACAATAGTGAAAACTGTGTGATTCTTCTGATGGCAACTGTTGTCCTGTTTTGAGTCTGATGTTGAGAAAAACTTCTGTATGTGTCTTAATTGGCACGTAGTAATGTTTAGTTTTCTTCTAGGTATCTTGCCCGAGTAACTGACACTGAAGCTACAGATACAAACAACCCCAATCTCAACTATGGAATCGTTGTGGACTGTGGCAGCAGCGGCTCTAGGATTTTTGTGTATTGTTGGCCAAGGCACAATGGTAATCCCCACGATCTGTTGGACATCAAACAGATGAGGGACAAAAACAGAAAACCCGTTGTTATGAAAATTAAACCAGGTACTGGAAAGAAGTTAATTTTAAAGGAGATTTTTTTTTTTTTGAGACTAATTTTGCTTTTTCAAACCCTGTATTTACAGTGTCTGGGTAAAGGACACTTGTGAGTGGTCAGCGTGGCACTCTTCCAGATTCCTTTGGGTTTGGTTTGCAGAGAGCTTTGTTCAGCTTTAAAGCTTGGAACATGACACTGACGGGCAGGAGAGAGAGGTTTCTCTGTGGACTAAGACAGTTGCTGGTTCAGTTGCCGGTTAACTGTCAGGTTCTGTTTATTTAGTGAATAAACAATTGACTTTCTGTAAAGCTATTGGAACCAATTCTGTAAATAGCTACTATATCTAATACAATTTTGTTGTTTATTGTTTAGAGGATGATTAAGTGTTAGCTTCATTCTTATTTTCTTATTTCTGTGGCTGATTTCTTGGGTTTGGCTTTGAGTTGTTGGTTTCTTTGTGCATTGGTTATCAAGATTTTCCAGGAAGTGCCCAATGCTCTTGTATTTCTCTCTCTCACTAGGCATTTCGGAGTTTGCCAGCTCTCCTGAAAAGGTCAGTGATTATATTTCTCCGCTTCTGAGCTTTGCTGCTGAACATGTGCCACGTGCAAAACACAAAGAGACTCCTCTTTATATTCTGTGTACTGCAGGAATGAGGATTCTGCCAGAAAGGTTATTGGCTGTCTTATTTTTAGCCTTTAGAATAGTGATCCTGGTGTGTCTTGACTATTTTTAACTGTTCAAAATGTAATTTTGCAGCCAGCAGAAGGCAATACTTGAAGATCTGCTCACTGATATTCCTGTGCATTTTGATTTTCTGTTTTCGGACTCGCATGCAGAGGTTATTTCTGGGAAACAGGAAGGTAAGTTAACACTGGAAAAATTGTATTTGAAATGTTCATTACTTCCATGGTGCAACTTGGATAATTTTTTGTTGTTGTTGTTGCTTTTTAAAATTCTGGTTTGGTTGAGAGATCTTATTTCTCAGTAGCAAGATCTGGAGTGTGGAGATGTTAATCTGCTGTGATCTTCTAACTTGGCTAAATATTTTCTAATTAGCAGTGAAAATATCTGTATTTAGCAAGAATTTTAGTCCATTTTCTCTGGCTTTGGGGAGCGAGGGGTAAGGATAAGGCACAACATTCTTGATGGAAGAAACTTTGCAGGGAAAAATGGCTTCTAAAGAAGTGATGTTTCGATGTGCTCAGCTCACTAGGGGCTTAAAATCACTTTGAAAGCTAAACATGCTTTTTTTTTTTCCCTGAAATTTACACATCAGTCTGTCTTTGATACATTGAATTAGGATTTTTATCATAGTCTTGACTTGGGAGACTAAAAATAGAATAACTTGTCAGGAATGTTTGACTTGTATTTTATATAATAAAATATGAACAGTGATATATCTTAACTCATCTGCAAAAAAATTCCTCTTTGTTTTTAAGATGTTATGTACCAGATATGCCTGAAATGTCCAAATATGTTTTCTTATGCATGTAGGAGTATATGCATGGATTGGCATCAATTTTGTTCTGGGAAGATTTGAACATACAGATGATGGTAAGTGTGTTAAATCTGAAGTTGATTTTTTTAAGAAGGACTTAACCTTCCTGTGTTTTCACTGTTGATGGTGTGTTTTCAGACAGAGCTGTTAGTGAATAGTGTGTGTGCAGATGCTAACGTTGGCTTCATTTGTGCGTGAAATTTCAATGAGCTGCATTGCTACAAAAAATCAGTTCAGAAGAAGAAATGTAGTGCTGCTTTAGGCCCACCCTAGTTGTTTTTCTCACTGCCTTCTTGTTGTTTTAATCCAGAGGATGAAGCGATTGTGGAAGTGCACATCCCAGGCAGTGAAAACAAAGACACCATCTTTCGTAAGAGGACTGTGGGTATTCTTGACATGGGCGGAGTGTCGACTCAGATAGCATATGAAGTCCCTAAAACTGTAAGCTTTGCCTCTTCACAGCAGGTTATTATCTGTGCAACTTTTCTTCTTTTTCTTTTTGGTTTTATTTTAATGCATTATTCTTTGTTTTGTTTTCTTTCTTTTGAGTCCTGTTCTTCATTACCTCACATTGCAAAAACCAAGGCAAGAGAAGATGGCAAATATGAGTCCTTCATCAGCTAAGCATTTCATTTGTATTTTGTTCATTCAGAAACTTTAATTCAATTAATATGATTTGCCACTGATTTTTGCTTGGATGAGCATTCTTTGTGTGTCTGCCTGTGTTTATGTACAATTTAAAAATTTCTTTTACTTAAGAGACTGTATTCTAGAGTTTAGAAACCACAAGTCGTGTGGTTCTTATAGAAGAACTTGCATGAGATATGACTTTTTCCTTTAAGTTGGATTGGTAGAAACTGAATTAACAGGACACGGGGGTAACAGTGGAGTTTGTTTAAATATCACTTACATCCTCAGTGAAGTTCATCTGTTGTAGGAAGCAGATTTTTTTCATTACAAGTCTTAAATGGAACATAAGTTGCTCTAACTTCAATCCACAGAGTTCTGGAGTAATTCCTGAATCTTTGAAGTTGGATAACCTCTCGTTATCTTAACTGATAAATTATCTCAAGTAAGAATAGCATAAACCCCCCACGTTTTGACTCTCAATGCACTGTTCTAATGATGTATATATTGATATATTTTTTTTTAATCTTCCTGTGAAATGATGGGTTTTCATTATTACAGGTTTTAATAACTATGTTGCCTTTCAGACAGATGGTGTCACAAATAGTTTGGGCTGTTAAACAAAAGTATGGGCGTTCAGATTCAGAGCAGATTGCCCCAGTCAGATATGACTTGGAAATAGGAAGAGTTGCAGACAATTGATGGTGACTGTTACATGGATCTGTCTGAACATAAGCTGATATAAAATAGGCATTCTGGTTGTGGAACCTGTCCAGGTTCTCAGATGAAGAATGACAAGAGAGTCAAAGAACTGAATGTGATGCTTGCAGTCCTGCTGTTTCTCATTTACAACGTCAGTTGGAAGCCATGCAATGTTACACTACATTTCTGAGCGTGTTCTGTATGAAGTGCTTCTGCTACACAGCTCTTAAATATCTGAAAAGCTACTGCAAGTGACTGATGTATGGTATGTGAGGAGAGCTGAGTGACTGACAGGTCTCTTGAAAAGTTTAAGAACTCCATGTTGGAAAATTAAGAACAGCTCTGCTGGGAAGACCACAGATCTACCTGGCCTAGCAATCATGAGTATGGGGACTCGGTCAGAAGTGGTAGCTTTGAGTTTAGTAGACACAGCACAGACTTTTTCATAGAAAAATATACTTTAGCATCCATGGTAGCAGTTCCTTTACAGTTCCTTGAGTATCAGCAGTGATAATGCAGTTCTCTGCAATCACTGTGCTTTCCTCTCCCTGTGAAGTAGAAGGCAACGTGGACCTGTGGAAAAACCAAATAGATGAGTAAGGAATGAAGCTTGAAGATGTCAAAGACATCTCGTTGTCAAAGAACTCACCTTTAGGTTCTGGTTCATCTTGTTTATACCTAATCTTTGTGCTTGTGTTCCTACAGGAGGAAGTAGCCAAAAACTTGCTTGCAGAATTCAACTTGGGCTGTGATGCTCATCAAACTGAGCACGTGTACAGAGTCTATGTTGCAACATTCCTTGGCTTTGGAGGAAATGCAGCACGCCAGAGATATGAAGACAATCTATTTACCAGTACAGTGCTTAAAAACAGGTAGGTGGCTGCAATCACTTGGGAATGTTGGTTCTGTGCATCACTAGGCTCAATAACCCCCTAACTTGAATATATTTTAAAGTGTCCTGACATAGAACTTAATTTCTACAGCGTTCTGGATGCAATGCTGGAGTCTGAGTGAGGATGCTTTGTCTTGATGCTGTTTTATCGCAGAGCTTGATGTTTCTGACACGCAGTTGTGACTGTGCTTGCTCTTTTATCCAGGCTGTTGGGCAAGCAGATGGGCATGACTTCTGATTCACCTTACCTAGATCCTTGCCTGCCCCTGGATGCTCAGGATGAGATCCAGCAGAACGGACAGATCATGTATTTGCGGGGAACAGGAGATTTTAATCTGTGTCGTGAGATTATTCAGCCATTCATGAATAAGACTAATGAAACACAGACATCTCTTAATGGTGTCTATCAGCCTGCTGTGCACTTTCAGAACAGTGAATTCTATGGTTTCTCTGAGTTCTACTACTGCACCGAGGATGTGTTACGCATGGGAGGAGATTACAATGCTGCTAAATTTACTAAAGCTGCAAAGGTAAAGTGTTCTTGAGATTAATTTATTCTAATTCAAAACAACTACTCTTTAGAAGTGTTTTGTCCTGAAAGTCTTGCAACAAAACTCTTTTTTTAAAGATCCAAAATCCTTTGACCCTGCAATGAACTATCACAGGGCGTCTCACTGGGTTTTCTTTTAGAATACTTGTTTTAAGGCACAATACTAAAATTGACTGTAGAGGGAATGGGACTCGTGGTCGAGTTCTAGCAGAACTATTGATAATGGGGAAATCCATGCTGCTGCCACCCCTTGCTTCTTTTTAGGTATGTCTTAGTTGTTGTTAGAAAAAGAATTTCTTTTCCTCTTGCTTTCTGCTTCTTTGTACCAGATTCCCAAGTGTTACTCCTAACAGGGATCAATACTCCTAACAGGTTTCTTCATTTGTATTTTAGTTCAAAGTAAGGCTGCAACATAAAGCAGAGGAACATGACCTGTTTTGTCAATGCTTTAAAAATAGGTTGTCTATTTTTCATGTCTGAGTACGTGACCAAAGAGTTTAAGTGCTATTGAATATTAATTTAACCACAAATGCTAAATATGGATCAAATTATTACAGAGAATGCCATGAAATTTGTGATCTGACTTATTAGCAATGCAAGGGAAGAGGTTATTTTTGAGTTTTCTAGCTTTCAGTATTTACAGAGCATCTTATCTAGTGGCATTTTTTTTTCTTCTCAAGGCAGAAGCAATGTTGAAGTCTTTCTTCTTTTTTCTTTTTTCTTTTTTTTTGTTTTCTTGAAGGATTATTGTGCCACTAAGTGGTCTGTCCTACTGGAACGTTTTGACCGTGGTCTTTATGCATCACATGCTGATCTCCACAGATTGAAGTAAGTATTTGTGTTTGTACAGCAGATTCATTCATGCAGAATTGCCAGGGAGAGGTCATGTCCAAATGATCCACTTAATGAAATCATTGAAAGTGTGAATATAACATTAAATATTGCATCAGCCATTAAAAAAGTACTGATAATTACATGTCTGAATGTGCTCCCCAGTCCTCTGGGACTCTGTAACTGCTGGTCTGATTTCATATCACTCTTTCTCTAGGTACCAGTGTTTTAAGTCTGCCTGGATGTATGAAGTATTTCACAGTGGCTTTGCTTTTCCTGTGAGTTACAGCAATTTGAAAACAGCTCTGCAGGTTTATGATAAAGAGGTGCAGTGGACATTGGGAGCCATCCTTTACCGAACACGGTTTTTACCTTTAAGGTACCAGTTGTTTTCTCAAATGCCTGGGAAGAGCATTTAGGTGGAAGGTATGGGGCTTTTCTGAAGGGAAGAAGTATGGTGGTGGCAAAGCAGCTGTGAGGCAAATATGAGTCCTTCATCAGCTAAGCATTTCATTTGTATTTTGTTCATTCAGAAACTTTAATTCAATTAATAGAATTTGCCACTGATTTTTGCATGGATATGCATTCTTTGTGTGTCTGCCTGGGTTTATGTACAATTTAAAAATTTCTCTTATACTTAAGAGACTGTATTCTGGAGTTTAGAAACCACAAGTTGTGTGGTTCTTATAGAAGAACTTGCATGAGATATGACTTTTCCCTTGAAGTTGGATTGGAAGAAACTGAATTAACAGGACACGGGGGTAACAGTAGAGTTAGGGGGAGACAAATAGGGGGAGACAAGATGTTGTTTCTAATGCATTATATCTAACCCCAGGACATATCTCAGGTAGCTCAAGTAATGCTTTAGAAAGACTGTTCTGCTTAAAATGAGCTCTGTTTGCTTTGGTAAGATAGTTTGGAGGCAAAGTTTGGTTCACAGCTCATGTCTGTTATCCCTTTGATTCTTTTCAGAGACATCCAGCAAGAAAACTTCCGTGGAAGTCACTCCCACTGGAGGAGCTTCTCCTTTGTTTACAATCACTATTTGTTTTTTGTCTGTTTTCTGATTGTGCTGCTCTCCATCCTGCTTTACCTGCTAAGGCTCCGACGGATCCACAGGCGAATGCTGCGTAACAGCTCGTCTCCTTCCCTATGGATTGAGGAAGGCCTCCCACCACAGAAGATCGCAGGACCCTTATGAGATGCTGTGATGGAGAGCTTTGATTGGACTTTTTACTCAAAAAAGCCATTTTTGCCTCAGGGTTCCTCCTTTTCGTCCCTTTAAACCATTGAAGAAGCAGATTGGGAAAATGGGGTCAACTTGGCTTAGTCTTATCAGACAATACCTGCCAAAAATTACTGGTTTTATTTTAATGTTGCACTTTTGTGTGTAATGGGACGAGCAGAGACTCGTCAGTAAGTGAGAAGCAGCTGCTTAAGCTATGTGTGGTAAGAGAATGAGTGTGAATTCTCATCCTTTGGGTGAGATTGTGAAATCCTGTTAGTAAGGATGTTAGCTAGGATGAATGAGGACTGTTTTGATTTTTCTTTTCCAGATTCCAGGATTGGTATCACTTGAATTCTTAATTCTGAATCTCCTCAGTCAAAGAAAAGGAAGTGCAGGGTTTTCAAAAGTAGTAAGAAAACAACCTTTTTAAGGACAGCTTAATCTGATTTTATATTCTGGGATAAATACTGTGATGGAGAAGAAAAATCTATTGCACCCAATGCTGTGCTTCCAAAAAACTGCTCCAATCAGTTTTGTTCATTTGTGACAGTTTCCCCTTTTGTCCTGGAAGCTATATCCTCATGGTGGCAGAAGTCACTACTTTTTAATCTTTTCTTTCTGTTTCATAATCATTTGGAGATCTCCCTGAAACTTCTGTAGGGTGAAGAGAACTGGAACATGCCTAGGCTTTCGTTTCTGCTACAGTAGACATGCACAGTGTCTCTTTTTCTTTTTTGAGTACTCTTGATTGGTTAATTTATATTTTATTTAAAACTGTTAATTTTACTTGAAAGTAAATTTGTCCATGATTAAAAGTGAGATTTATATGAACTTCTGATATATGGATATTTTATTACACAATGTCACTTCTCTTCTCACTGTTTGTAGCCAACTGGCAAAACTTTCTTCTCTTCTAGCAGGTGGGAATATGCTGGAAAACTGAAGTTTTCACTATTGGAGAACTAGACACTTTGATACCATTTTTGTCACACTTAAGGTGCAGTTTATTCATCTGAAAAATCTGGATACTTTGAATTGTTTTGTCTCCTTTCGATATGCTTGCTTTTGACTTTGATGTATAGGAAATTTAAGCTTGAGCTGCTGAACTGCAGGTAAATTTAGGTGCTAAACTTCCTGCTCCTTCCGTACAGTGTCTGGTGGGTGGCTGTGTTGCAGTCCTAAGAATTAACTGGATATGTGGTGGAATTTTGAAACAGCAACGGAATCTTTAACTGAAGGTTCAGAAATAGAGAGTCCAGCACAGAACCATGAATGGTGCTGAGCTTGAGAGAGTCCAGCACAGAGCCACCAAGATGATGAAGGGAGTGGAGCATCTCCCTGCTGAGGAAAGGCTGAGGGAGCTGGGGCTCTTTAGCTTGGAGAAGAGGAGACTGAGGGGTGACCTCATTAATGTTTACAAATATGTTAAGGGTGAATGTCAGGAGGATGGAGCCAGGCTCTTCTCAGTGATGCCCAATGGTAGGACAAGGGGCAATGGGTGTGAGCTGGAACACAGGAGGTTCTGCTTCAACTTGAGAAGAAACTTCTTTCCAGTGAGGGTGCCAGAGCCCTGGGACAGGCTGCCCCGGGAGGGTGTGGAGTCTCCTTCTCTGGAGACATTCAAGACCCGCCTGGAACCTTCCTGTGTGATCTCATTGAGGTTCCTGCTCTGGCAGGGGGGTTGGACTGGATGATCTTTTGAGGTCCCTTCCAATCCCTGACACTCTGTGATTCTGTGAAATAACAACTAGCATCTTCCTTTTAGAAAAGATTTTTTGTACCTGACCAATCTAAGCACTTCACCAGCTGAGGGTCTGGTTTGCATTTTGCTATTTTTTTGAGCACCATCTGAGCGAACGTTTATAGATAATTCACCTCTGATGGCTGGAGCTGTGGTACAAACTTGGGGCACTTGTAGGCTGATAAGAACTATCAGAAAACTGATAACTGCCAATTGTGACAGAGTTTGTACTTCCTGCTTCTGAGATGCCTAAAACTAGAGTCCAGAGCCTCTAATTCCATGTTTAGATAAAGCAGCCGGCTTTGGACAAGGGCTGACGTTAGGGGTAAAGTGGAGGGGAAGTATCAGTGTGTGACCTGTCCAAATCCAGGCAGATGCCAAGCATCTCTTAGCAGAAGAGACAGTGTCTCAAATGCAGCAAGAAAACAAAACCAAACCACAAAAAAACCTTCCACCAACCCCCCAAAATGCCAATAAAAAAACCTTGGGAAAATCATAAAAACATTAAAAAGTTGAAGGAAGGATATTTCAGACCTAAAGGAGAATTTTTAGTGAAGTTCTTAACATGTAAGAGACTAGGACAAAAAAAATCATCTTAACATATAACTTTAAAATGTACAATATTTCAGACCTGAAGTTGAATTTCCTTTTAGATGCTGCACCATTTTATTTTTAGTGAAGTTCTTAACATGTAAGAGAATAGGCAAAAAGAAATCATCTTAACATATAACTTTAAAATGTACTTTAATAGAATTAGAAGCTCATTTTTATTAAATAATGGACAATCATGGAAAAAAACCCCCACAACAATCTATTCTGGACTTAACTAAGGTGGTATAAACAATTGTCTATAAAGTTCTGAAATATGTCCTGGTTGACCCAAGTGCAGGATTTTGACATTGCTTTCTTGAAGGATGGACAGACTCTGGCTGAGCACAATGAAGAGTGTGTTAAAGAGAAGATTTTGGTAGAACAAGCTGCATCTAGTGAGCTTGGTGCACACGGTAGGGACAGGTACAGCACTGGGGTAATGAAGGCAGGTTGGTCTTGTGCTTCCATAAAGCATGGTGTGCCTGCTTTAGGGTTTCCACACTCCTCTTTTTTTGAAAGCACCACGCTGGAGAATGAAGATTTGAAGCAGGAGGGTTTGGAATATGAAGAAAGAGATGATGATGATGATGATGATGAATGGTGGGTGGTGAGAAAGTGATCAGGAAAATGGAGCATGAATGGGCAGGAAGCTTCCTCTGTGCCAGTGACTGCTCTGCAGTGTAGTGTCTCTTTTGGTTTTTGATTTATTTAATTTTTCCCCTGCTCCAGGATCCTAGCACTATTGTCCTGCTTTTTTTTTTCTCTAGTGATTTGGTTCAGGAAGGGCAGAAGAAAGATGACCCAATACACAATTACCTCCTGTCATGGTAAAAAGATAACTGCTAGCAGAGATAGGTTGTGGGAGCAGCTGCTGTTCATTAAAAGAAAAAAAATCTAACCAGTGCATGAAAAAACAGATTCAAACAAGCTTAGAGCCTAGAAATTTAAACAAGCTTTCCCCATTCATGCACCCTAGTGCACAGAGGCCTGGTTTATATCTGTATTTCCCCCCCCTCGTTTAGATATCAAGTGGGAAACTGCTTGATTAGGTGAGCAGGTGTCAGGGTGCTTCAGAGGGAGGTGGGGGTGAACCCTGTCTTCCAAACTAAAACCAGCTGCTTTCCTAAATTCTTTAAGAAATCTCATTAGATGTTCAGCTGCCTCTCCCTGTGCATGAGAAGGGTCAGTTGATCATGGTGATGCCAGTCACTGATCCCCACTTTCACAGCATTTTATATTATTTTATAGTATTTTATTTTAATTTATTTTATTTTCCAATAAACTGTTTCCCCCAGTTGCTTTTTGGGTTTGTATTTTTGTCCAGGTTTTTCTGCTGCATTCTGTCCTTAGTGTTGTAACACTAACTGAAAGATTTGAGGAGAAGAGGCTGAGTTTCTTTAAACTCTTGGCTCTCAACCGTTCCATCCATGGCCAATAGGTCACCCACCCTGGTAGGAGCACAGTGAGATTTAGGGGGCTGAGTCCACTGGGCAAAAGCAGCACTGGGACCCTATTTATTTCCAGCAAGCTGGGAGTGAAGCCCCTTGATCTCAAACAGTTATAGGGGCCACAACAAGAGGCAGCTGAATTAATCAAGTGTCCTAAACATGCACAGCAGAAAGTCATCAGGCTCATTAGCAGCAACAGCCAATAAGGGCTGGGAGAACCTTGGGCTGAAGAAGAACAGATGGTGCTGTGCTCTTGCCTGGTGCTCTTTGGTAATATTTCTACTTATCTGAGGTATTTTACCTTCAAAATGAAGGGTTTTGGTTTTGTTGGAGAAGGATGGGGTTGTATTTTTCATTGCTGTGGGGAAGGGATGGTGGATTGCTGTGGAGGGGAGCGAAGTGGTTTGCAGTGAGGAACTGAAGTGGAAAAACAAGCCTCAAACTGACTGACTGGTGGCTTTGCGTGGATTTAGCAGCAGTCCTGGGGTTTATTGCTGTTGCTTGCAGAGAAGTGAGGGTGTTGAGAGGAATTCTGGCAGGTTCTTAAGCTGTGGATCTAAAAAGGTTGATTGTCCTTGGTCTGTACATTTGGAAAGAACACAGCACTAAGGACTTGGAGCCTTTGGCTTTTGCTTTCAGGAGGTGGTTTTAATGATGTAACTGGGATGTGCTTGGGTTTTGGCTATGGAAGGGAGTAGGGCTTTTGTCCTGGGAAAGTGTATCTGTAAAGAAAGGATGTTAAAAACCAGCTTTGAGTCCCAGCCTGACCATCAGGGTAGTGTAGGACAACAAAATAGTGCTGGGCGTGTTGGCCTGATGCTGTGTTTGTGTACAGGGTTGTAGTGTGATCTGAATGTGTCTGTGCAAAGAACTGGAGGACCCTGCAGATCATTCTGCTCCCATAATCTCACTGCTGGTGTTTCTGTGAAGACAACGGGGATGGGCTGTGAGGTGGGACTGGGAAACAGGTAGCTCCTCATGGGCATCTTCTTTAGGGTGCTCCAAGTGTTGATGAATGGGTGAGGAGACTTTGGCAGTCTAGTCCCCAGTGCTGAGGGGAGTTTGAGCCCTGCACCATCCTTCTGTGTAACACAGCCCAAGATTTCAGCCCACAAACTGCACAAGGTCCCCTCCTGTGAGGGTTTTATGCGAGTTCATTGCACGTTAGCGTTTGCGATATTGAGGCTGACAGATGTGCGGGTGCCTTTAATTGCTTTAAGAGCTTAAAGCCCACAAGGCATAGGGGGGAGGCACAGAT